TATAGAGACAGGAAAAAAGAAAGAAATCTCTATGGAGCCAGAAGGAGAAAGAGGATGAAGAGGAGGGAGGAAGGAGGAGGAAGAGAAAGAAGAAAAAAAGAAAGAGAGAAAGAGGGGAAGAGAAAAGGCTACAAAGAAAATACATAGAGTAATTAATTAATTAATTGTATGCGCTGTGTACAAATGTCTGCTCAGAGGGGTACATTCTTGAACCAGAGCTCTTGTGGCTGCTTTGGAGGGAGTTGCTTCTTTGTGGAGTCAACTCTGCCCAAACTGGGAGTTTTTCCCATGGAAACTGTTTACACCAACTCCTTTAACCCTTCCAACGATTCTATACACACTCAGGTTTCTACCTTTAGCTTTTTCCTACTTGAAATATATACAGTAATTTATTTTTTCATTGAGCTCTGACAGAGTTGACAAACATATTCACTTTGTCATTGGTATTTTATTGCTGTGCTCTGGATATTTGAGATTGCTGGGCAAGTTTCCTCTTGTTACTACTAATTGAGCATATACATATTTCTGCCATAATGAGTTACTGCAAACTTAGCTTAAGCAACACAGATTTATTATCCCAGTTCTGTAGGTCAGAGGGCCAATGCAGGTCTCACTGGGCTAAAATCAAGGTGCTGACAGGGCTGTTTCTGTCTGGATACACTACAGGAAGATCCATATCTGTGATCATCTGTGTTTAACAGAATTCAGTTCCTTGAAATTGTAAGACTGAGATCCCCGTTTTCTAGATAGTTGTCAGCTTAGTTGTCACTAGAAGTCCCCGACTCCTGAACCCAATTGCATTTTTTTCTCTTCCCTTTCATCATATTTGAGATTGAACCCAGGACCTTGAACATGCTAGGCAAGCGCTCTATGCTGAGCTACATCTCCAGGCCTTTCTAAAGTCCTCTCTGCCATGTGAGGTATGCCATCACAAGTTCTGGGATTAAAGTGAGGGTATTTTAGCAAGTGGGCAGGGAGCATTATCTGCCTACCTAATCTTCACATTTAAAAAATTCCCACTCAGAAGTCATTTGACATCAAAAGTTTAATGTCAGTTTACTGTTGCATTCTGAAATAGCTAATTGATTTTTCCAAGTACTTCAAACATTTCATAACTACTAATTAGTACTAAATATAACCATGATCTGAAGGCACAAAACAAAGTACATGTACTTTATGATACTACAGCTCAGGGCATAAAAGTCAAAATTGGCTACCTTTCTGCCACTCTTTCTAGCACTGACACATAGCTGAG